CATGTAAAGAAATCTTTCACCTAGAATCTTGCCACTAAAGTCAGACATACCTTAGCTTGAGTTTATTTAAAATGTATGTGATTGTACTTCTAATTAGACACAGAGTTAGAAATGTAAGCCAGCTCTGTGATTAATAATTCAAATGTTCTATTCTGGGCTACATTTATTCCTATTTGAATACCTTCCCACTGAATGTTTTTCAAGATGGTGGTTTAACACTCAGGGAGGCACGAGAGAGCACGCATGACCTAGTTGCTATCTGCTCTCAAACACAAATATAAAATATTGCGTAAATAACTTTGTCAGCATTGTGAACATGCCATGCTTTATTTAGATTTATTTTAGATGGTGTCAGCCTGGCTCAATGATGTCAGCCTGGCTTAGCTAGCAGCAACACTTCTTCTGTGACAAAAGGTTGTGAGTTCAAGTCTCACATCAGAACTTTGAATTCATATAGTCTAGGGTAGGCTGACACTCAATGCAGTGCTGGGGCAGCGTTGTTTTCACAGACAGGCATTAAAAATCCCATGCCACTATTATAAAAAGGGAGTTTCTCGCAGTGTCTTGGTCAAAATCCGTTAGATTTTCGTCATTCACTTTGTGGCTGTTTGCAGGACATTATTGCAATTTGTCTGCCATGTTCGCTTATAAAGTACAGTTACTACACTTTACAGTACATCCTGTGATGCACTTGGAGATGTATATTAAATGCAAGGATTATAACTTTGGTTAATTAATTCCACATGTAAGGCACAATTCACTTGGAAAACAAATTAGATTTGGCAGCCGGTCAATGCATTTCTTCTACTTTGAATGTGAAGTTTCAAAGAAAGCACACCGTGTTACATATATATTAGATACAATCATTGTTCAATGAACAATACTGTATTTACATTTCAGTTCAAGTAAGGGAACATTCATAACTGTCTTATCACAGAAGTCCTCTATTCCTTTACTCCCTCCTATATTACCTAAATTCCACTTATCTGTTTAAAAGCTGTTTAATTAATTGATCTGGCAAGAGTAGAACAAATCTTCAACATCTGAGAACATACACATAACGGAATAGTGTACAGTACTTTTCCCTGTTACCCCTGTATCAGTTTGACTCAAATGGTGGCACGCTCGCCTCTGGGTCAGAGGGCTATGATTCAAGCCCCACAACAGCTGTAACATAAGATGACAGTCCCGGTCATCCTGGAGGTGTGCTACATTGTCATAAGGTGCCAACTTTCAGATTTATTTTGGTCATAGTCAGTATGACACCTGCAGAAACCCATCATCATGCTTAAGAGTGTCCAACAGACTAAATTACATATATGTTTGCTACCTACACATGGAAACTGATACGATTCCGACATTGCATTGCCAAGCATGCCACCCTGGATTCTAGCTCAGCAATCTCACTTAAGCGACCATGAAGTGAATGGCCAATTTTTATCTGAGGCCAGAACATTGGGTGAAACCCCATTCTCCTTTCAAAGAGTGCCATGGGATCTTTAACATCTACCAGAGCAGGTACAGACAGGACCTCAGTTTAATATCTCATCCAAAGGATGACACTGCCAACAATGCGGCACTGTAATGGAGTTTCAGCTTAGACTTGAGCTCAAAGTCCTTACGTGGTGCTTGAACCCATAACCTTCTGACTCAGAGGCAAGATTGCTACCAACTGAGCCAGGTTGACACACGTTCGTTAATATATGCACCCAATGTCAAGAGTATCATTTTGCCAAGTATCTATTATGCTAATTGATTGACAGGTGTCTTATCTGTCTTTTTACAAATCTGAAGCTGAAGTTAATTCTAAATGTTTTCTGCACAGTGGAAAAGCTGGTTTCTAGATCTCAGTTATGGAAAGTATTTTCTGGAAAAGGGGCTCCTCACTCTAGCCTGAATGATAGATTTCAGCAGAATTCCAAAAAGCATTTCTACAAGAGAGAAAAAATTCTATTGGATGGAAAGATCATATTAATAATACTTAGAAAAAGATGGAGTTCCAGATGCTCTAACAAAAGATGTAATCAGTTTTTTGAAACGTCATTTGGGAACAGCCGGTCCAGAAGCTGCAGACGTTGAAACACTTTGACTTGAAGTAACCGAACTGAGACAGAAGTACGAGGCATTATTGGAGGAAAATAAGGAACTAGAAGCTAAACTTGCACAGTATGAACTTCCAAAAGAGGAAGGGGACCAACTGAACCATGAATGGGTAGCAGAATGTAGGCAAGGGGACACACACCACAGATCTCATGGATTTGGAGTTTTGGGGGATATTGATGTTTGTTCTGGGGGTGGGAGAATGATATCTATTGCTTGACATCCATCCTATATTTCATGGTGATAAATGTACATTTTATATATAAAAATGTCTAAACTATGATTTTTTTAATAATACTATTATAATAATGGTCCTTACATTTAATATAACACATTTCATGTCCAGAGGACATTCATGTTCCAAAGCACTTCACATAATACATTATAAAGTCTTTTTGTGGATGAGTACGGCAATTTGCCACACTCATCCACAAACAGTCATGAAGTGAATAACAACTATCGGAATAATACCAGTTTCGGAACATTTAGAAACAACTACGTATAATTTACAGTGCAAGTGGTCTCATTGATGGTCAAATTGATGACTATACTTGCTAATTGTTAAGATACAGTGAGAGGTTTGTTCCATAACAGAAAAAGGCAAGATGTTAAATGGCCAATCTGCCCATATTAACTCTTCTATATGACAGGAACAGGAGGGGCAATCCTATTTGTCAAGCATATTCTGCTCATGGCAGACTTTTTTAATGCTATCTCCCACCTTTTCTCCATAACCCTTATGTCCACAAGTTTCCTTTCTTACCAATCTGCATCTTTCATCACAGAGTCCCTTTGACTCTCCTTCTCCCTCTACATTCTCAAAGATCAACTCAACACTTACCCTTTTATTGCACTTTCATCTCCCAACCCCCTCCGCCCCCAGATCAGGTGCCCAGCACACTGTTGTGAAGCACTTTAAGACTTTCAGATGTTCTCCCAATGTCAAAGGTGTCAACCAGAGAGAAGAGCATCTGGATTGACATTATTATCATTATTTTTCCTTTATTATTTTAAAAACCTCAATCAGATCACCCTCAACTTCCTCGGCTTTAAGGAGTTTGCTTTCGATACAGCACCTTATAATAATACTATAATCTTTGCATTTGATATAGTGCTTATCATGTCTTCAGACATCTCAAAGCACTTCACAGTATATACTGTAAAGTGAATTGACTGTATATTTTGTTGGCGAAACACAGCAGCCAATTATGCACAGCAGTGTCCCACAAACAGTCGTGGATTGAGTAACCAAATTATTTTTATTTACTTTGAAGGAATTATTACTTCCGGAAAAGTGATCCGCCAATCGACTTACAAACGGGTTCCTACTTACTACTAAGTAAACAGAGGCGCATAGAGTAAGAAAACTTGCCCAACATTTCACCCTGCTGGGAGTCAAACCCAGGTCCTCTCAAACTAACCACTAAGCTGCAGGATTTACCATGTCATCAAGACATTTCAAAGCGCTTCACATCATACACTGCAAAGAGATGTGACTGTGTGAGGTTTGTAGGCAAACTCAATATATAACCCAAGTCTACCCAGCTTCTGAACACTAAAACCCTTCATTTTGGGTATTAATCTGGTGAATTGGTGGAGGATGGTCTCCAATATCAGAACATACTTCCTAAAGATTTATCTTTTTTGACTGCACTTTTGGCCACCTTCCAGCCCCCCGCGCCCCACCTCCCAGCTCAGGCTCCCAGTCACGTATGGATGATGCTTTGAAACTTCCTCCTGATGTGAAAGGTACAACATAAATGTAAATTGGTGTTGTTATAAAGTCGGGAGTACTTGTGTATTGAATAACTGTATTGAATAACTCCAATGTTTTGTGTTGATTATGTTGGTTTGATTTTATAACATTTTATAGTGGTTATGTCTTGCGTAAGCAGTGTTACATAAGTATGTTGTCTTTGTGGCATTGCCATCACAGAAAGCTCAGTAGCTGTTATTAGGCTGAGTTGCTATGGTTACCTCTACTACATAGCAGGTTCATTGCTCACATCTACTGGCGCAGAAGCATATTACTAGATGGATGGATATCTGATTGACACACAATACTGTATCACACTTCATTACTGGTCACATAGGTTGCATCATTGTTTTGACATCACTCACACCTGTTACTATAAAATAAAGTTTCTTGTTGGCTTTGGGGATTACTGGGGGCTCTAGTGGTCCTTAAAATCTCAAATAAGTACAATTAAGTATAACAAGACAAAATATAACCTTTCTGAAGTGCAAATTACAGCCATTTTTACATATCCTTAACCTTTACTTGAAAGCACAGCACCTGCATGGGGTTGGATTTGGTTGATTTTCACTGTGCCTCGTATTAACCTTCACTATACCACAGATCAATCCTATAATCCTTCTGTATTAAGAGGATTAAACTGGAGTATGGTCAGCAAACTGCCCTGTGCGGCAGTCTGGATAGAGAGATTACCGACACCGCACTGCAACCACGACAAACGATTGTGAATCTTTGCATAAAATGAATGGCAAATCCATCAGAAAACAACAACAACAAGATTCCATTTATAAAGCGCCTTTCACGTCAGGAGACGTCCCAAGGCGCTGCACAGTTGGGTCATGACCCGAGCAGGGGGGAAATGGTCAGGGTGAGGGGAGGGAAGGGAGGGAGCGAGGAGGGGGAAATGGTCAGGGTGAGGGGAGGGAAGGGAGGGAGCGAGGAGGGGAAAGAGAGTCGAGAGGGGAGCTGAAGGCTCGGTCAAAGAGAAAAAGATTCCAACCGAGTGTCGAGCTCAGCCTCCACCAACCAACCGGTGAACCACAGCAGAGATGGGGGCACTGGTGCATTCCCCCCTCTCTCTCTGGAGTCCAAATGAAAACCAGAGCAAACATTGCTGCCGCCAACTGCGCTTGAATCGACTTACCCACAGGTGCACAGGTCGCAGATGCATTTTCTTTTCATGGTGTGTGTGTGTGTGTGTGTGAAAGGGAGAGAGGTCTCAGTGTGAGTCACTCTCACTCACTCACTCACTCACTCACACTCACTCACTCCTCTGCGTTGGATGCATTTTAACCTCCGGGTTCCCCAAAGGCTTCAATGTGGTGCTGAGCTCAAACTCGATCAGGCGTCTGGTGAGGGAAGACGCCCCTCGTTACCAAGTTGCACTGATAATAAATCCCTTCGCCCTCTGACGCTCGCACACCCACCTCGACATTGTCACATGGCCCCCAATGCAAATCCCTTTACAGAGGATTTAAACGCGGCCGCTCCTGCGGGAAGGTGTTTAAAGCACCAGAGAGGGGGGTTGGAAAAGAAAGAGATCTTCAAACTAGACTGAGGCAGATACTGTGCAGCCGAGTGCGGGGGCTAAAGGGGGGGCAGGAGTCCTGATTTGGTAAAACTGGGGGGTTTTGTTGCCCACCTGCGACGTGATGGCATAATTCATCGTGAAAAATGTCACAGCGACCTGGAAACATCACCGTCCGTCTCCCTGACCTGACTTGTGCGCGATGGTATCACGCGATGTGTGTGTTAAGGGAGTGGGTTTGCTCTGCTAAAGGCACCGGTACCTTCTGGGGGTGTGATTCCACTGCCCCTCTGGTCAGCCCTCAGCACTGGGGGTGGGGGCAGAGGAGGTGGAAAGGGGAACTTGAACTTTGTGCATTACACCACTCCATCTGCTGCCCCTTTTCTCCTCCATTACAACTTCTTCTCCTCCTCCTCCTCCTCCTCCTCCTCCCGAGAGCCAATGTTTCTCCCATTCAATAAACCCTCCAAAACCAAAAACCACAATAAATTGGTCATTTTCAACCCACCACTGTTTGCGGGGACGCTGCTGTGCACAATTGGCTGCCGCGTTCGCCCACAAATATACAGTCAATTCACTTTACAGTATGTTCTGTGAAGCGCTTTGGGACGTCTCCCGACGTGAAAAGCGCTATATCAAATGCAAGGATTATTATTATTATTATATTCACCCTCTACCAGGACTAATGAACTGGTGCTCGTCTCAGGTTGATGCACGAGCATAACAGACACCTTCATCCCCACACTCGTCAGCACTACCGCCCCCACCCTACAATTGGCAGTCAAAAGCTTAGCCCACAGAGCTGGAACATTTGGGGAGATTTTCAGTGCCAAGATCCAGATTTGGTTCCCAACCTTCTTGGTGTTCAACACTTGACTGCTAAATTTTGTACCACCTCTGGGAAAAAGCAGCTTCAGCAGTTCATCCTTGGAATAAGCCTGAATGCCAATCTTCAATAAGATGGGAAGAGTAATTGCTTCCAAAGCTTCATATAAAACACTGAGAATAGCCATCGGGTCCTCAGGAAATTCCAGGAATCATAACATTCACAAAATATTGCCTAATCTGGAACAGAGAATGTACCTTTCGAAAAAGATGCTTGCACTGGAATGTATGTGGCAAGATGTGTCTGGTCTTGAAAATTAAAATAGCAAAAGGCAATTGATTCAACTAGTGGCAGAGGCGTCATATCCTTTGGAATGAGATGTTAAGAGTTAAATCCCGTCTGCCATTCAGGTGGAAGTTAAAGCTCCCAAAGCGCAACATGAAAACGGAGTGTCCTCGGCCATTCATTTAAATTGATATCCAAATCGGTTGCTGCAATCACCTACAAATATGTAATCATCAAATTTTACAGAAATTTATGCTTTGAGATATTTTGAAGTGAAAAGGCACTATATCAAATGCAAGTAATGTATTAAACAATGAACCAGGTGAACATCTAAACATGCCTAACAGCTGGGCACCTGAGCTGGGGACGGGAAGGGAAAAATGAGCGAAAGCATGGTCAAAAAGTCTTGAGACAGTCCTTGAATGAGGTGTTTGCACTGTTATAAAGTTCCAGAGTGGGAACAAAGAGGCTGTAAACTTGTCGTGATAGTGTGGAACATGAAGCAGGTCATTGAGCTCTGAACAAAGGGCGCAGCCTGGTCTGTATGGTTTGAGGAGGTTGCAGTATTAAGAGTGGGGCAAGACGTAAAGAGAGTTAAAGATGAGAATCTTGAATTTGATCTACTTAGGGATGGGAAACAAATGGAGCCAAATGAATCAAGTAATGTTTCAGGGGTCCGAGTGTGGAAAAGGACACAAGGCTGCACAATCCTGGAACATCTACAACTTGTACTTATATAGTGTCCTCCATGCAGGGTAGCGTCTCAGAGCACTTAACAGTGGCAGTCTGACTGAAATCTTGAAGTCGATCTGTTCGGTGATGGGGAGCCAGTGGAGCCTGGACAGAACTGGTGAGATGTGGGTATGGAGTTTGGTCCGGGTCAGTATACGGGCGGCAGAGTTCTTGATGAACTGGATCTTTTGAATAGTGGAGCTGGGCAGACCGATAAGCAGTGCGTTTTGAGTATTCCAAGCAGGTGACAAACTCATTCACAAGGGTTTCAGCTGCAGTTGGGGCATGGTATGGTTGGAGGCGGGCAATGTGGCTGAGATGGAAGAAGGTGGTCCTGGTCAGGGACCGGACGTGGGGGAGGCAGGACAGCCGGGGGTCGAACTGGATGCCTAGATTGCACAATGGCTTGGTGAGTGTGAGTTCATCCAGAACTCTGCAGCTCATGTCCTCTCCCAGACTTGGCTCCATGACCCTATCACCCCCATCCTTGCCCAACTCCACTGGCTTCCCATCACACAGAGGATACAGTTCAAGATCCTGGTCCTCACTTTCAAAGCCCTCCATGGTCTCGCTCCCCCCTACTCTACAACCTCCTAACCCCCTACCACCGTTCGCTCCCTCCGCTCAGCGGGCTCCAGCCTGCATCACATCCCCTGCCTTGTTCGCCTCACTATTGGCAAACAGGACTTCCGCCACTGTACAACCACCCTCTGGAACTCCATCCCACAGTCCCTCCGTCTCACCCCCTCCCTTACCACCTTCAAGACCTACCTCAAGACCCTCCTCTTTGACCGTGCTTTCAATCTCCCTGTTTCCCCCCACCCCGACCCTCAGCTCGGGTCCGTAACTCTGTCTAACCAGCGCCTTGGGACATCCTCCCAACGTGAAAGGCGCCATACAAATGTAATTTTGTTGCTGCTGCTGTTGTGTAGGAAGAGCCGGGGAGTCTCTCAAGCAGTTTGCATAGTCAAGTCTGGACATAAACACACGGACAAGGGTCCCAAAGAAAGAGACAGTAGCAGAAGCAAGTTTCTACAGGTGTCAAACACTATTCCTGTACTTCCAACCTCATGCCAATTGTTTGTGTGCAAGATGACTGCAAATAAATCCTTATGCCAATTGTTTAGGTGCAAATGAGTCAAACTATTGAGCCCACCCACATACCTTCCAGTTGGGGGGAGGGGGGAAAGAGATCCCTGGACAACAATCAGGAAAAGGCTGATTTTCCTCTTTATTTACCAGCGCCACTGTAGTTAATCGCAACATAATAATTGTTACATTTCATATAGCACCTTATCACGTCTTCGAGATGTCTCAAAGCACTTTACAGAATATACTGTAAAGTGAATTGACTGTATATTTTGTGGTCGAAACACAGCAGACAACTGCATACAGCAGTGTCCCGCAAACAGTCATGGATTGAAGTGACCAATTTATTACCTTCTCTTGGAAGGAATGATTATCCCCAGAACAGTGATCCACCAATCAGCTAACAATTGGATTCCTACTTACTACTAGGTAAACAGGTGCGTGAAGCAAGGAAACTTGCCCAACATTTCGTCCTGCTGGGAATTGAACCCAAGTATCTCGCTTGCGAAGCAAGTGCTGTAGCACTATGCTACAGGACTCATCTCACCTGTTGTCCAAAAACAGCAGATTAATAATCATAATCCTTAAATAATCCTTGCATTTGATATTGCACTTTTCACATCTTCTATACGTCTCAAAGCACCTCAGACTATACCGTAAAGTGAATTGACTGTATATTTATGGTTGAAATGCAGCAACCAATTGCACACAGCAATGTCCCACAAACCGTCATGGATTGAGTGACCAAATTATTTTATTTATATTTTTTCTTGAGGGATTATGATCAGGCATATGGAGTAAGGAAACTTGCCCAAGGTTTCGCCCTGCTGGGAATCGAACCCAGGTCTCTCGCTTGTGAAGTGAGTTCTCTAACCAGAGTTACAAGTCTCCAGGTTAGAATTTGAACTTGTATTGCCTTTATGCACCAGATTAGGGAAAAGCTGATGTTCCAACAGTAGAAGAGATTGGAGGTACAATTCTAGAAAAATAAAGATGCAATTAATTTGGGAATGACACCACTTTCACACTCAAGACCAATTGAAGTTGAACTAATTAGGAACAGATTTCTGTCTAGTGAGAATGTATTTTGTAATTACATTTTGTATCGGTTTGCATCATCCATTGCAACCAAAATACACTTCACCCAAAACACTTGAGCAATGGATTCTTAACAATTATAAATAAAACTTAGTGGGACAAGAAGCCAGAGTATTCAGATATACAAAAAGGAGGTTAGAATGCAGTAATTCTTCTTTGCATATAAAGAGTCATTTTCCATATTACATTACTTTATTACAAACAGCATAATGATACGTACAATTAGATAAAAACAATAGTTTAGCAATTCAAGAGTGAATTAGAGGCTAACCAGAAGACTGTTAATTTTGGAACAAATCTGTTGCTTAAGGCAAATAATGTCAACATCAAGGAATAGAAAGAACATTTCCACTTGCTCTAGATAGTGCCAGAATACAGCATCAAATTAGGTAAAACAGTCTGCCCTAGATGCATGCCTTAATCCAAACAGCCTCCACTGTACCCCACTGATTCTCTTATTTCTCAAAAAAACAATTATCTCTAATTTATGGGCAGATCAGTGCCTTAGAGGACCATGCAGTGAACAGAATAAGTCACAAACGATTTTATTTAGGCCCTTGGTAATCCGGATAAGGAATTTGTAAAGTACTCATCCATCTTGGCTGATTTGAACCAGAGAAGTGAAAAGGTCCTCAAAGATGAAGTTCATAAGATTTAAAGGTATTGGAATGTTCTTAATACTGTGATTAGTCACTACCTTATGTAAATTAGAATGTACAATATGTACAAATTAAGTGCATCAAAAGTTTATTAACTGTTCCACTCCATCTGGAAGAGTATCTTCATATACAGAATTTTCACAGCTGGAAGTACACTTCCTTTGTGGTTCTTTTTCTGAAATAAATTATACAAAAATGATTAGAATTACTGTACTGACACAATAGCATACGTGCAATATCACCCATATCTTGTAATAAGTAAGCATTCTAATGGCTGAAAATGGTTTACTTTCTTGAATGTTAAGACTTCGGGAAAGAAAACACTGCACTCAGTCACCACCCTCTCACCCCATCATTCACCCATCCAGCTGGGGCTCCCACTCAATTTCTGTGAAGCACTTTGATGTTTTCTTATATGAAAGTCTCCTATAGAAGTCTGATAGTACTTTCACCTCCAAGTCAGACGTTTGTGAGTTCAGGCAACCCCTGGGACATTGAGATCATAGTCTATGTTGACATCCCAATGTAGTACTGGGAAGTACAGCACCTCTTCATGTCAAGACTTCTCAAAGCATTTCAGATTATACTGTATATTTTGTGGCCGAATTTTGAGAGTCAATTAGACACACAGCATTGTCCCGTAAACAGTCATGGATTGAGTAACCAAACCTTTTTTCTTATAGAGATTATTAACCCCGAAAACATGATCCACCAATCAACTAATAACCAGGTTTCTACTTACTACTAGGTAACCCTAGGCATGAACAAACAGTTGTGGATTGAGTGACCAAATTATTATGCTTTTTTTTGAAGGATTACCCCCAGAAAAATGATCCGCCAATTGACTGAAAACCAGGGTCCTCCTTACCCCTAGGTAAATAGGCATATGGAATAAGAAAACTTCCCAACATTTCGCCCTGTCAGGAATAGAACTCAGGTTTCTTGCTTGCGAAGCGAGCGCTCTAGCCACTAAGCTACAGGACTCCACATATAAATGCAAGTTGTATAGAATACTCAGCTCATTCACATCTCTTCAGAAAACAAATGACTGAGAAGGCACGACAAAGTCTTAAAATGAGAAACGCATTATTAGATGTAAGCAGGCTATTTGACTCGGTGCGCGAGGGTATAGCTAAGGGGTATTAGTATAAAATTAAATGCCCCAAAGTGAATGTGAAATTGATTCCCAAACACATTTAATGCATTGTCCATTTACTCCTGGTCTGTGACATACTAGACACTAAATAAAGTTGATATTCTGAATGACCAGACCAAGTGTACTTAGCACTCTTACAATATGGCGGATTGGAATCTGGGACTGGAAGACATCAAGTGGTTCAGTTGATCAGTTAAAACTATATGCAACATTTCTAGCCCTTAACCATTACTGTGTTACAGAAAATAGAAAAAGGATTACACTAGAATTGCACTTTAGTGAGTCAAACCATATTCTCTCCACACATAAAAACATGCTTTCATGTACATCAACCATTTGAAGTCAAGAGAGAAAAAACTCCTAATTACTTGCCTCCCTGCATTTCAAGAATTTAAAGCTTACTTCCTTGCCAGACAAACACTATATCAAATGCGCTGATAAGGATTCCTTTGATCGATGTACCCATCATTCAGAGAATAACCCAACCAGCAGCAGTTTGAACCTTTTCCTTCTAAATAGGATTTGACAGCTTACCCCAAAATAAAGTTCCACTTACCTTCAATAACATTAAATGATTTATTGCTGAACAGTGCTAATTGTATATTAAAAGCAAATCCCTATACTTACTCTCTAATAGCTGGATCTTATAAAATTCATCTTCAGGAACAGAGTCATTCAATAGAAATAAACCAAGAGATGGAATTTGATGTTGTGAAGATACTGGTGAAGGAGTCCTCAAGAAATTCTGATCCAGGAAGAAGCATTTATCCACAGAATCACGTTTATCTATTGACCCCAAATTATCATAATAGTCTACATCATCAAGCCCTAATTCACTTTCATCTTTACTATCAAATTGAACTGCTTCAGCATTTTCAGTTAAACATTGCTCCTGGTTTGCACCATATATAGTATTTGTACCCAAACAAGTCTTCCGCAGCCGATTATATCTACTCTGTAGAGCTTGTAGGTCTGATTTGAATGTCCCACAAGTATTGACTTGATCAGTATTCACATTTATAGGACTGTTCCAACTTTCATTTCCATGCTCATCTGGAATGGTCTCTTGTAAAATTCCACCATCTTCACCATCACCAGAAAGCCTTTGAGATTCATTCCATGGCAATGTATCCTGCAAGTCAGATTCTGTACCAAGAGACGAAGAGGATCCAGAGTTCTCAAAAGCTGCAAACTTCTTGTAGATTTCCACTGCAACACATTTTGACAGTTTCTCCTTCTTAATGGGAGAGTTCAGATTTGATTTTGTAAGGTTCAAAAATGAAAAACACTGGTCAGGATTTGCCTCATTTCCTGAAATTAAACTTCTAGCAAGATTATTTTTAAGCAATTTGCAGGCATAATCTTCCCCAGAATCTGACATTTGAGGTTTGAAAGCCATGGTGGGTTCTTTACTCAACTCATGATCTGCATAGTTACATGTACTGCCAGAAGAGAAATAATCAAATATATCTTCTGATCCAAGGCCCGAGCAACAGATGTTTGATCCTTTGCTGTTATCTAAAGAACCCACTGCTTTGCTCCTCCATTCAACATCTGCTTTGGGAAACACGTTCCTATTCCCATTCTCATTTGTTTTGGGCAAGAGATATCCTAAATTAATCACTTCTTTTTCAAAAGATGAGGTGTTCTCATCCAAAAGACAGTAACTTGACCACACCGATGGCACCTTTTTTCTATCCGGTGAATTATAACAACTTTGCTTCGTATCCAGAATTTCAGCAGAATTCAGGGAAATGTTTCCTTCATTTGTAGGCCAATCGGAAACATTTTTTGATGTGGGAGTTGGAGACTCTTCTGGCAACAAAATAGGAATTTCGCCACAATCATCAGGTGTTGTAGGTGAAGATGGCATCTCATTTAGGAGTTTCTCTTGTTCACGCTCAGTCTCCTGAACTGCACATCTCCAGGACATCTTGATGTCTGTAACTAGGGCCGCAACACAAAAAANGTAAGCATTTAAAATGAGTAAAAACAGAAAACACGATTACAATAAAACATCAGTATAGCTTTGAAAAAGGATCAGTAATAAGCAATAGAATTTTTTTCTTGGATGATTCCAAGTCTTCATTGCGTTTAATTACAATTTCCAATTGGCTTCAAGTTCCTACCATGATTTCTTGTACTGTGTACTAAGCAGAAATTACAAACGGAGAATTGCTGGGATGCCAAGAAAGGTGGTAGAGGCAGAGTCCATTGTGGGTTTCAAGAGGCAAGTAGATAGATATGAAAGCTAAAGGCTTGAGTGCAGAGCAGTGAAACTGAATGAACAGCTTGCTCTGAGTAAGAGTGCAGACTCAGTGCATCAAATGGCCTTCTGTGCCGCAAGTTTCAATGATTCTTCTGATGGCAAAACGGTTCAAAGAAATACCATTAAATTAATGGGAACATTTGGCTAGTTTCTCAGTATTACAAAAAGGTAACTTAACAAGTCCCAAGTGTCAGTAAAACATTCAACAAGAATGTCCCTTGAACTTACTCAAATTTTCTGGTGTTCTCGGTAGCTCTGCTCGTGTCACAAAGGGGTCCGTCAATATAGACTCAAATATTTTGTCCAGCGCCATACCTTTTGGCTCAGATGACTGAGGTGAATCAGCAGCAATTGCATTGGCGACCTGTAGAATAAAAATTCATTCAGTGATGAGTACTTCAATCTTGAAACCGATTCATAGAGGCACAAGAACCAATGGAATTAAAATAGTCTAACCAAATAATGAAGTTACACCTAGCATCAAGAGAAAAAATTGTTTATCCTCACTACTCAGATACATATTACAACAAGGTCACATCTGCCTGTTGAGGTGAATGATAAATATCCCTTGGCACAACTTGAAAAGAAAAGGGAGTTTCTCCAAGTGTGCTGGTCAACAATCCCTCAGGAAAATTGATCACTAACTTCATGGCTATTTATGAGACATTTCTGCGTATAATTTATGCAGATTTTCAGTGATGCCAGATCCAAATTGACATAGCTCTTTTCATTGCATTTAGGATTTGCCTTCCTTGCTAGTCTCCCCAGCCAATCAAAAACTTAAGACTGTCTGCAGCATTATGTGCACAAAACGTTGTACTTTCCATTGTGTTAAGCTATTTAATCTAGAATTATCAGGAATGGTGGTCACAATAGGACTGAGGAAGCGATTTTGTTTCATTTGCGTACAAAGAACAATAAGCTTACTAACCTCCTCTGCCAATTGATCACTCGCCTTCTGAAACAGATCATCTCTTTTCTTAAGAGCGTCTTTAGTTTTCTTCAAGCACACTGAATGTGGAGTTTCATCCTTCTGTTCTATTTCCATCTCTTTCAAATACGGAGTCAGAGGTTCATATCCATGAAGCTGCGAACTTGTAACTGGCATTTCAGTGATGTTCTAAGAATTAATTTTTACATCAGGATTAATATAGATCATTGCATAGATGGGTTCATTGATACCACACAATCAATATGTTATGCAACTGTTTTTAAACCATTAAAAATCAAAGTAGTGTGGAGGATGCGTTGCTTACCTCCATAAGACATTGAAAACGCTCTTCTGTTGGATCTACAGGATGTGCAATCAACCTGCAAGATTAAAAGCTTGGAATAAGAAATTACAACAGTTGAAGAATACATAAAAGGAAGAACATTATTCAAATAGAAAAGTGATTTTTTTCCCCAGTATGCTGCCCAAGAATTCTCTAATTAAATTGATAGACCCTGTCTGTTTGTGGATCACTACTCTGCACAAAATAGCTGCTGCCTTAATCCACAAATACATTTAGTACTGTGAGTAATTACTGTGAAACCCCGTGAGATGGTGTGAAGCAATAGCAAATGCAAGGATATTAGCAGACCTGCACTATTTGGTACATTAACAAAGTGTAATTCAACATGAATTTATTATTTCCAAGAAGAATAAAACCTGCTGCATAACTGAAGATGCGGGTGGTACATAAAATCACCAATAACAAAGAGTGACTGCCTCGGTCTATGCAAGAAAAAAGTTATACAGAAATCAAGTCCTCAGCATTGATACTCCTTTGGAAGAGATCAGTCCAAAGAGAATTTGCACAAAATAAGCTTTGCTTAACTAACTTTTCTAATGCAACAAATATTTGAGCTACTGCAATAGCTTTTTTTAGAATAACATCAGATTTCTGCGTTAGCACAACACTTCTATTAAATAATAATGTTAGCCTCGTATCTGTCCGCTCCAATTTCTCTCAATTCGACTCGGTCATCAGAAGGCTCATTTTACTCTAGGGAGAAATAAGCGACAACTGGAGTAGACTTGGCTCCAATTGCGTATCAGCCTCCCAATACAAGAATAATAAATAATCTTTGCATTTGATTATATCACCATAGCACTTTAAGACGCCTCAAATCAATTTTACTGTAAAGTCTAGTGACTGGATTTTGTAAGATCTGAGCAAAGAGAATCAATACACTAATAAAGTTACCGTAGTTTCTAATATACATCTTAAGGAACTGCAAACCTTGCCCTGCTTTGAGGTTACAACAGCAAAATTACATTTGTATAGGGCCTTTCAAGTCAGAAGGATTGCACAGTCGCTGGACAGTCAGTGTTTCAGACCTGAACTGGGGGTCAGGATCGGGGAATATGGAGGGCAGTGGGGGAAGGTGGGTGACCAAAGGTACGGTCGAAGAAGAGGGTCTTGAGACGAGTCTTGAAGGAGGAAAGGAAGGGGGAGAGGCAAAGGGACTGCAGCATGGAGTTCCAAAGGGTGGGGGCAGAGTGGTTGAAGGCCCATCTGCCAATGGTTAACCAATTAAACACAGGACACATCTCTGGAATATTCAGGATCTAGGTTTAGTTTCATGCAAAACAGTGAATAGGCGATTGAGCCAGCATCCTTAAGCAGTTGCGGCTGGATTTCAGATCCTGTAAGCTATAGCTTTGTGCAAATGGACATACTGAATGGGTATAAACTTTGAACATTCTAAGCTCAAAAGGAAAAACGTCTTGAAAGAAAAAAAATCAAACTTCTCAATTCTTTAAGCAAACAGGGATGGTTTTAGCAGTTTGCTGACACAAATAAATTTGTTCTTAAAAACAATGCTGGGATACAAGACAACATACCTTTGAGAGAAGAGTGATTTTAATGAGTTTTGATGACTAAACCTCTGTGAAAGGCTAGTTATACAATAGTCATCTTTTTTTGAATCTCTTGCTCTCGTTTTTTCAGGAGAAACTGTCAAAAGAATGTCCAAAATGATGCAGGTTTGAATAAGATATTTTCAATGTTAGTAACTTAAATTTAACCACACTGTTTAGAAAATACAAGTCATTCTCTAAATAACACAAGTTTGAATTACGTCTTTCAAAAGGTTGTATTGTATTTAGTCCAATTTCCTCTACATTCTCGATACATACAAAAAATTACAACTTAAAAGTAATATTTCAACAAATAGGGAAAGTCAGAAAAGAGAATGGCAAACAATGAGCACAAGAAGTGATCAGGGCAAATAGATCATACTATCGCTTTAAAGATCCACAGTATGAATGAATATGAATGATGATTTCTTGTTTAAAAAAACTCAACCATGCAATGCTAACAATAAAATCAATCACTTCCCAACCCATCGCACTGTCAAGTAGCATTTAACCTCCCACTGTGAAAAATAAAACAAATATTAAATCTTACAATTGATTACAATTTCATTAAAGTAGTCCTAAAGCTAATGTTAAAACCTTAAAAAGTTGAGCATCTCAGAAATTAGTAAGGGAGTAGAAAAGGCAAGGATTGAATATGCCAGATTTGAGGGCCAACATCATTAAAATGTACCAATTTTTGGAATTGATCCAATAAAAATGGAACTAAAGATCACCATCCCTGTTCTAGATGCAAACTGGATCTCAAAACCTAATTCTTGAAGGAAAACAAAGTGTTTGGAATTGCTACACGTTGCACAATTAATTTTGTAGTCACAACTTACCAGGAAGCAATGCAGGATAGGAACAAAACACGCTGTTTTTGTAAACTTCTTCTGAAGCTGCTTCAAAAGACCATGCTGGCATGACCGGAAGAAGATCAAGAACCTATAAAAGATTACATGTTTAATTAAATGGCCAGATGTGTTCAGAATTCCCATATCTTACCTCATCTAAATCATCTTCTTGATCAATGGTCAAAAGCATAAAGTACTGAAACTTTTGAAGTACTGTAACTTTAGCACAACTGCAAGTCATCAGCCATTTGTCTCAAAGGCTATTGTTCATGAATTTAAGTTGTATGGCTCCACCTGCCCCGAAACAAGCCTTCAACATGCCATTTTCCACCTATGTTTAACCTGACTAAGCACACATCAATTAGTAACATTATGGTTAATAAGCTAGCATTCTTCACAACAAACCATTTGGAGAGCTAAAAAAAAGTAGCTATTTCAAACACTGAAGTTAACTATAAACAAAACGCAAAACACTGCAGATGCTGGAAATCTGAAACAAAAACAGAAGTCACTGGGAACACTCAGCAGGTCAGGCAGCATCTATGGAGAAAGGAAAGTGAATCAACATTTCGGGTCCACGACCCTTCGTCAGAACAAATTAACTATAACAGTCATTATTATACACATTAGAATAGCAATATATTGGCAGAAAATAGTTTTGTCTAAGTGCACAAATAATCCCCTTTCCCCACAAAATTAGTAAGATGTTATTACTTACAGGATACTTTTTCTTCACAGGAGAAAAGCCAGTTCTGCTCAGATACTGCTCCCATTTTTTATCCCAGGCATTTTCCATCTTGGTAATTGAGAGTTTTATAGAAGGGACAACGATTTCTGTTATCTTCTGGCTGTTACAAGAATATTTAGTGTAAAGATCAGTTCATGTGCTTATTTCCAGTGATCAGCTATATTTGATCAGTAACGTTGCGGGGTGTTTATATCCAATTAGTTTAATTGCAAACCTATTCAGAATTAATTAGCTGCTGATCACGACACTACTCATCAAGGTTTTAGCCATACAGTAAACCCTGGCTTACTGGACTCCAAACATCCAGAATTCAATCCTTCCGGATCAGGCCCAAAATTGAAAAATTACAATAATTTTCTGCGGTCCTTGTGTACTCTTGCCAGCCCACTCTCCCAGCGCACGCCTCTGCCTCACAGTCCTTTTTGGCCTTCAGTGACCAGGGATAGACTTTGAATGAGTTTAAATTTTGTGAGCAGAAATTGCCTATATGGGAATTCAAACTATTACAATGTCGTTACCGGCACTAAAATAAGACGGCGCTGAAAAATGCCAGTACCAGGCATTGTAATTACACATAACCAGAATTCCGATTTGCTGAACCCAACTTGGTATACGATAGTCTTCTTAGCTTTCTGCCTCAGTGATTGGTGAAAAGCTGTAACTGCAATTATTGAGCTTGTGCTATTAAACTGCGTGAGTACTTCAACACTGTGGCAGAAATAATAATCCTTGCATTCGATATTATGCTTTTCACATCTTCTAGATATCTCAAAGTGCTTTGCAGAATATACTGTAGTGAATTGACTATTTGTGGGTGAAATGCTGCAGCCAATTGCGCACAGCAGTGTCCCACAACTAGTCATGAATTGAAGTGACCAAATTGTTTTTTTTTATTTCTTGAGGGATTATTATCAGGTTTGTGAAGTAAGGAAATTTGCCCAAGGTTTCACCCTTCGGGAATCGAACTCAGGTCTCGCTTGCGAGGTGAGTCCTCTAACCACTGAGCTACAGCTCTCCTATCCGGTAGGTCCGCATATAGAACAGAGTAGGAATGATATTAAATTAATATTAAACAACAACGAGGGGAGGGTGGAGGGCAGGGGTGGAAGCAGGGAGATCAAAAGCACGATCGAAGAGGAGGGTCTTGAGATGGGTCTTGAAGGTGCAAGGGAGTACATGGTTGAGAAAATGTAACCTACATTTGTATATTAAGTAGCAAAAGTTTCAAGCAATTTACCACAGTAAATAAATAAACAGTAAATAAACGCAGTAAATAATAACATTATTGAAGCTTACCATTAACATTTCCCTGGAGACCTTGCCTTCATACTTAGTTTTAGCATTTATACTTCAGACCAGGCATTGCTTTCCCACCCCATGCCCCAAACCTCCAAATATTTGCTGAAATGTTCAATGTGACATGAAGATGAAACTCTTTGCAAATAGTTCATATTAGCATGACAGAGAATTAGAATTGCAATTCTAAATATCCATACCAGGGTAGGGCACATACCTTTTATCTTCCATTTCAGAAAGTTCGCATTTCAGAATTTTTGTCGCCCTTTTCAAGTAATCATGATGTGCTCCCAATTTTACAGTACCAATTTGATGATACTCCTTTTCACAAAGTTTGAGGGACGAATTACATAGCTGGATTATTGCTCTCATGCTTAGTTTACCAGCCTCATACAGGTTGCCAATCTGTAAACAGAAAAACATTTGAGATAAAAGTGCTACAAAAAGGACATGTTTTACAGAAGGAATTCACTCAGTAACTTGCTACAAAATTGGAATTATTCACTTGTAACAGATTTACATTTGTGATTGGCACAAAAATACTTCACATGCCCTTAAATGCATTCATAAAGACATTTTCAATATCTATCAAAGCAGCCCATCCAACACAAATGTCAAATAATCCACCCCATTGTTCAGCATAGCAACTTGTATTCAATAAACATATTTTGATTAAACAGGTCAGCCGTAGGAGACTAAACTACTCACCTGATCCATTTCATCTTCAGCCTTAAGAAGCAATCGTCTTGGTACTTTTATTGCGGCATTGGTACCATCAAGCGTATATCGGTTTGCATTCCCTTTCACTATAGACTCTATAGCGTCTGTTTCTCTTTCCAACTGAGACAGTGTATCCATTACCACATTCCACATCGCTTGTAGCTGGGAGGAAGAGACAAACCTTAAATTTAACTGAAAACAAGATGCATTGAAAAATATCTAGAAATACTGCCCAAATAAAAAATTACCAACCACTAACTGGGCAAAAAAATATTAGGGCAGACTCCCGCATAGTAAAGGACAAAACCCATTTATTTGTCCTGATTCAATATCTCAGATGTCTTGTTAAAAGGGGAAAAAAGCTGACCTCTTGCTGAGCACTGGAAGCTGCTGCCATCATTTCTACACACTGATATCATGAGCACTTCAAGCTCAGGTGAAGCAGCAATTCTGAATAACCAGAAGCCAGCTGTTTTTTTTTTAAAAAACACAGGAAAGCAGAAGTATACCACACTTTCAGTGACCATGGCTTCACAAAAAAAACCTGTGCTAAGTGGCTCCACTTTACCAAGGAGTATAGCAGAATTGCCCCGTGTTTATATTCCTTATTTTCAATAATAGCTCAATAAAAACAGATTTGCTTTTTAACTGAATTTCAGCGCATCTGTTGGTCTCTATAACAAAGAAACCTCCCCATTCCCTGCTGTCAAAAGACTAGATAAACCACATAATGTACATTATAACATGCATTCAAACATTATATCGATTGAAACAAAATTTAAACTAGGAAAGGGAACTTTTTTCTAATTATTCTTGGCCTGCCAGTTCAAAATAAAGATTTAGAAACATAAATTATATACCAATGATTCTTAACATGTTCGGACAATGGATCTGTCATAAGTAGTCAGCACAATTTGTTCAAAAATATTTCTGGAGTAAATACAATTATGCACAAATACACAAGTTTGAACAAACCTCTTTCTGTTTCTGAATAAGTTGTTCTTGAGCATTTCCACAGGAACTCCTAACAGAAATAAAAAAAGTAAAACAATCTTGGAAACACAAAACAGATTTTTAAAGAATATCCAATGACCTTGTGGGCAAACCTCAGGTTTTGCTAAGTCAACTGATCTCATCCATAATGTCAGCCAATCAGAACAGGCCCCGGTATCATTTCTCCCATATTCAAATAGCCACCGTGAGCATTTGCCACATAGGAGAAATAAAAGGCAACTGATGCACTTGGATCAGTCTTCCAGTAAGCTTTCTTGCAATTGATTCAGTGTAAATGCCTTAATGTGCATCACAGCAGTTACTGTGAAGTATAAGTGAATGTATTTATTTATAAGCAAACATGACAGCCTATTTGTGCACAGCAATGGTCCACTAACAGCAATTAACTTTATCTGAGGACGTTTTAAATCAATTCCAGGAGAAAAATCCCTTCCTTTTACCAATGGAGTCAAACATTCTTCAACACTCTCACACTGCAGTGCTCTCCCAACACTACACTCGAGTTCAGACTGGACCATGGAGCTCAAAGTCCTCAAACCGGAACTTGAACCCATAGCCGTTGTTATCAATGGAGCTAAGTTGACTTTCTATTGATGAGAAAGGAACTTTCACCATCCATGTGGCAGAAATTACTTTTAATGTTAATTTGATTAATTACTCCGCAACATTTAAAGTTGATTTAGGGCAAATAATTCAATTGTGATTTCATCTGAAGCTAAACGCACCTAATCAAATTCTGTTCAAGTGTTAAAAGGAGCTGGTCTTTTCAAATGGAAGCAGACACAAACTAGTAACTTAAAAGCAATAAGTAAGGGACAGGTGGGTGGGGAAACAAAAATGCTTCCTGTGGACAATTCGTATTGCACAATTAGAAATAAAAACAAGCTCACTTAGGTTCAATCATCATTGTATTATGGGCAAATTGTCTGTCGTAAGGTTCACTTACATTTGTAGCTGCTCTAGGGCACTGCTGATGACAGCAACAACTAGTTTGGCTCACCAGCAGGACTTGGAAGGGCAGACCAAGCACCAGGAGCAGGGACTCTTTGCACTCAGCTCTCGTTAACCCTGGCAGCCAATGCTTTAACAAGTAGGGTGGTCCTACCTGCACAAGCATCAGGAAAGCTTGCCAGGCAGTGCTCTCAAATCGCAGGCTATGTGGTTTTAGTTAGTTAAAGACTACAGCGGTACCCAAACACACACTCTGGGGTGCCCAAGCCTTGGCTCTTGCTAACTTGGACCAAATACTTTCTGAAATTAGTAAATAGGATGCATCCTTCCAGGGAAACAGTGTGTATTGCATTCCAACAAATGCCTCTGGAATCTACATGTGTAGGTGGGATACATCTGACCAAAAAAAAACCTTTGCATTTGAAGTACCTCATCTACATGCTTCAACAACAACAACAAGATTCCATTTATAAAGCACCTTTCACGTCAGGAGGACGTCCCAAAGCGCTCCACAGTTGGGTCATGACCCGAGCAGGGGGGAAATGGTCAGGGGGAGGGAAGGGAGGGAGCGAGGAGGGGGAAATGGTCAGGGTGAGGGAAGGGAGGGAGCGAGGAGGGGGGAAATGGTCAGGGGGAGGGAAGGGAGGGAGCGAGGAGGGGGAAGAGAGTCGAGAGGGGAGCTGAAGGCACGGTCAAAGAGAAAACATTTAAGTGAGGTCCAGCAATGAGTAATCCCAAAATAGTGCTTATGAAAAAGTAGAAATCTTACTTTTCCAGACAATGTTTCTGTTCAGAACTCGGTTTCCTTAAAATTTTATTTTCCTTCACCAATAATCTAGAAACAAATCCAAACAAATCTATTAAAAATTCATTTAAACAAAGGTAACATTGTCTTGTATTTTTTCTTGCTTCAATACAAGTGCAACAAAGAAAGCATACCTTTATATTCTACTATAACTTAGTTCACATGAAAGCGACGTTATTACCAATAAATAGAATTCTGGGATACAACAACAAGATTACATTTGTATAGCACCTTTCACGTCAGGAGGACGTCCAAAGTCGCTGGACAGCATTTCAGGCCCGAGCCGGGGTTGGGGTGGGGGGGGTAAGGGAGGGGAGGGGAAGGGGGGGTGACCGATGGCATGGTCGAAGAGGAGGGTCTTGAGGCGGGACTTGAAGGAGGCTAAGGAGGGTGCGAGGTGGAGTGACTGGCGGATGGAATTCCAGAGATTGGGAATCGAGTGGCTGAAGGCTCTCCTGCCAATGGTAAAAGGATTTAAATACAACATACTTACTCTTCCTTTTTTTGATACTCCCCAACAACAAAAGCTTCCTTCTGAATTCCTTCTAAAAAACGGTTGCTTGCAATGCAACTTTTCATTGCTGCCAAATGGAGATTTTGTTGCTTTCCGCTCATTTCAATGGGTAGCCAGGAATTCTTTCCTTTTTGTTTAAGAAGAAAGTTAGCAACCTACAAGATCTGTCAATCAAGTTATCTCGCTAAATTATCATGCGCAACATGGACCAATCAACTGGCATGTTTCAACAGCGAAACTTTAATCTACAAGTCTTGGTTTGTAAATAAACTCACCTACAGCATACACACATGTGCCAATCAATTTTCCATGCAGATTTTTGTGTATACACACAATTTTGCATTCATGCAATCTCCACATTACCAACCGGAAAAACAGCTCTCCAACATTGAAGAATAATAATCCTTGCATTTGATATAACGCCTTATCATGTCTTCCAAGACGTCTCAAAGCAGTTCACAGAATATACTGTTAAGTGTGGGTGAAACGCAGCCAATTGCACACAGTAGTGTCCCACAAACAGTCGTTGATTGAAGTGACCCATTTTTTTTTTGAAGGAATTATTACCCCTGGAAAAGCGATTCACCAATCGACTAACAACCGAGTTCCTACTTACTACTAGGTAAACTGAGGCATGTGGATCAAGGAAACTTGCCCAACATTTTGCCCTGTTGGGAATTGAACCCAGATCTCTTGCTTGCGAGGCGTGTGCTCTAATGACTGAGCTACAGGACTCCACGCCCGTATGCCTCCAAATACAACGTAACGCCCACCAACAAACTAGTAACATAATGCATACGTTGATGTCCGACATTTCCCACCCCACTTCAGTTTCTCTCCTTGGGTAAAACCTGATTGACAAGCACACATGTCAAAATTAGAAACAAGCATACTTTAGTTATCACCTAAGCCAATAGAAATGTGCAGAAATATTACTAAAATTGTAGGGAGTTTTACTCATTTTGCGGAAAATTGCGTGGAGTTGATTGGCGCTGTTGAGAAACATTTTATTACCAACCTACATTAGCTGATAAAAACTAAACATAAGGAAATAACACATATTAGATTGTTGCAAAAAAAATGAATTACTTCTTTAACATAAACTAGGTGTTATTTTGGAGGTGGGGGGAGGGGGACACCAGCGAGGCTACAGGATAGTGCCTCATCCCGTCTTCAAGGCGTCTCAAAGCACTTCACAGAATATACTGCAAAGTGAATTCACTGTATGTTTTGTGGGTGAAATGCGGCACAAATTAATTATTCGTTTAAAGGGATTATTTTCTGCGGAAAAGCGATCTGCCAATCGACAACAACCAGGTTTCGAAATTATATATTAAAATCAGGATAAAGAGAAAAAAGCGCCAAGGTTACAGACTCTACACCCTCTCAGGCAACCAGATATTCACACAGGATTTTGGAAGAGATTTGGCAGTTTTAAACTGCTTCCTCACAGATGGCCCAACTTGCACATCTATATGCAATGCTTGGATTTTTTTAAAGAAAAGGAAACAAAGCAGAAATAAATGATGAATATATTCAAAAATCTTATATATGCACATCCGAGTCCAGAGTGCCTTTAATTCGAAAGGCAAAATAAGTTGTGTTTAGTTAAACTTCAAAATAAGTTAAAAATGATTTAGTCAAAATGAGTTGTGTTTTTTTTAATATAAACTTGCATTTATACAGCACCCTTCACATGGGTTAGCGTCTCAGAGCACTTAAAACTAACCAACTAACCAATCGACAGCAACATCTCTGGGGAGTGAAGCAAGGGGAGGAGGAAGGAGGAGAGGACAACAATGACATTCACTGTACAAGGTAGTGATATGGGACTCAGATCATTTTTTTATATACAAATGATCACAGGGAAGATTGTTTTAATAAACTAAATTATTCATACAGCGGGCATTCAATTAGCCATCTATATTCTTAGATTAGGCATGCACATGGTTTGGGATTTCTAAATTCTATTCAATAATCTGTTGTTCAATTAACCAAATTTCTCTGTGCAACCCTTACAAAGCTGAGCAATGTTACTGGCTGAAGCAATTGGAATGGTCTCTCAAATGTTTGGCTACTATATTCAAACAATGTGTTTCTAGGTTTCACAGTTACAGAACTGCAGGATTCTTTGGTTTGGAACTGAATTGGTTTTTGGAATTAGTATTCACAACAAAATACCATTCAGCTTCTGGAACACTCTCAAAATGTAATTGATCCATCAATAGGGTAAAGGGGAAAAGACATTTGCTATTTTTACTGATATGAAATAGTTAGTAACAATGACTTGCATTTATATAGTATCCTACAATAAATAAACACTTTGAATTGTATTGCTTACTCTGCAAGAAGTACTGTCTGACTGTAGAACATTAATTAAATTACATTGTGTAGACAGGGAAGATTGAGATACATGTGGTAAGCAGGATCCAAAAAGTATAGTTAATTAGGATAAACGGATAACTGGCTTTAAGAATGGTAAACAATTCGCCTTTATCTACTAAATGGATACCAAGTGCAATTTGCGTGCTCACTGCGCCCTCTTGTGGTCAGAAGGACCTTTGCCCAACTCTCCACTCCAGAAAACTCATCACTCTGAGGGAAAAGGGCTAAGCAAAGAATTATCTGGAGTTTACAAGAGTATGAAAAAGATTAACAAGTGCTAAGCAACACGAATATCCATTTCACAAAACCACAGACTAAAACTATTTTTAAAAAGGCCACAAAGATTTCACTGCTCCACAGCATTGCAAGGTATGCATATTGGTACAGAGCAAGTGGATGGAGGACAGGAAGCCACAACCCAACCCTCCAATAGACCAGAGGCCTCTGCGATGCATCCAACCGAGCATGCACTTTCGCCAGGCGCCCACACCAGTCACAGAATACAAGACTCCATTTTATAGGACAAGATGTCCGAGGTATGTACTTAAAGAATGTGATTAGTCCCTTATTAACATTTTACATGGGAAGTGGCTGAGATTTTGCCAGGATGGGAATGACAAGTTAAGCCAGAGTCTCATCAACGGGAGCAAGTCACTTCCCTAACCAACTCACTTCAAATTGTTTGAAGGCTTCTTACACAGGTGTGACTATGCAATGAACTGATGGGTCTAGAAGTCATCCATTTTAGCTTCTAAAAAATTGCCTACTTCTACAACAAAATTATATTTGTATAGCCCCTTTCACGTCGGGAGGACATTCCAAGGAGCTGGACAGACAGAGTTGCGGACCTGAGCTGAGGGTCGGGGTGGATGGAGGGGAAGCAGGAAGATCGAAAGCACGGTCAAAGAGGAGGGTCTTGAAGGTGGCGAGGGAGAGGGTGAGACGGAGGGACTGCGGGATAGAGTTCCAGAGGGTGCGTCCAGTGGCGGAAGGCCTACCCGCTGATAGTGAGGTGAGCAAGGTGGAGGACGTGAAGCAGGCCAGAAGCCGCTGAGCAGAGGGAGCGAACAGGGTGGTAGGGCGTTAGGAGGTCAGAGGGAGCAAGACCGTGGAGGGCTTTGAAGGTGAGGACCAGGATCTTGAACTGTATCCTCTGTGTGATGGAAAGCCAGTGGAGTTGGGCAAAGATGGGGGTGATAGGATAAGTTATTATCTGCAGACACGGGGGCAGGTTCACTCAACTATCTCTCTCCAGACCACGGTTGTCCTGACAGAATGTCAGTTAGACATCAAGTCCTGGATGAAAGCTAACTTTCTACAGTTAAACATCAACAAGACTGAGGCCCTCCTGATTGGCTCCCATCAGCGACTCCATATCTCAGGCGCTGACAGCATCACCTTCCATGAATGCACACTCCACCTCACTAAACCAGTCTGGAACCTTGGCATCGTGTTTGACCCTCAATTGTCCTTTCTAGCACAGCCATGATCTGCTCTGCCTCCCCCCACCTACACAACATCATCTGGCTCCGCCATTGCCTCACCTCTCAGGCCGCCAAAACCCTCATCCACGCATTCATCATATCTAGGTTCAACTACGCCAACTCCCTGATTGTCGGCCTTCCCAACTCTTCCCTCCACAAGCTTTAGATCATCCAGAACTCTGCAGCTCATGTCCTCGCCCACACCAGGCTCCATGACCATATTACCCCCAACCTCCCCCAACTCCACTGGCTCCCCATGCCCCAGAGGATAGTTTAAAATCCTCATCTTCAAGGCCCTTCACAGCTTTGCTCCTTCCTACCTCTGTAACCTGTTACGCCCATATCAACCTGTCCACTCAGCAGGCTGCAGCTTGCTCCACGTCCCTTTCTCAGCCCACCCCACCATCAGCGGTCAGGCCTTTAGCCTCTCTGACCCCTCACCCTTTGAAACTCCATCCCACATTCCCTTTGCCTCATTGCCTCCCTTGCCTCCTTGAAGGCACATCTCAAGACCCTCCCCTTCAGTCACGCCTCTGGCCATCCTCCTACTCTCCCTGATCTCAACTCCCTGGCTGTCCAGCACCTTGGAATGTCCTCCCGACATGATAGGCGCTATACAAATTTAATTTTGTATTGTATTGGGTGGGTGCTGCACCTTGAGATCATTTACAGTGGGAAGTCTCTCTGTGAAAAACAAATTAGCGTGCGGGGAGCCAAAATGGCCAATAGCCATTATTGCCCCAGTTAGGATTTTAATTCAATTCCAACCTGTTTCTAAAATAAATGAGCAACAGGGTATTTGACATTTCACTGCCACCATTTTCAAAGGAGTCAGCCTGACAATTTTATTTTGGAATGTGAGCAAATATTTATCCAAAACTTTCAAATAAAACACCTACATTACATAAATGGAGGCCACCTTGGTGTAAATTTTCACCAAGATGGTCTCCATTTATACAATGTCAATTCACTTTAAGACATCTCAGCACTTGATAAAGCACTATATCAAATGCAAGGATTATTATTAAATATAACAATACTCTTGTATTAGATTGTTTTACAAAAGTTTACTTACTTGCAGCTTTCTCATTATATTTTTGAATAAGCACATATTTTGAAAAATGGTACATGAGATTAATAAACTTAGGACCTCCAGGAGAAAGAAACAAAGAAGCCACAACTTGAGGAAAAGTGCTTCCAACTTTATCCTGTAAGGGAAAAAAGCCGTGAGTCAAGTACATGAAATCATTTGACAATTTTATAACATAATAATAGTATACAATAACCAATAGGTATGGGTCTCATTTCTATGAATGCATCTCAACTCCACAAAAAGGTTATTCTTGGTGGATCAATTCAAATGTTCAACACTCAAATCGATGGATTTGTGTTAGGTATGGGTATCAAGGGATATGGAGCAAAGGCATGTAAATGGAGTTTAAGGTACAGATCAGTCATGATCTAATAGGCTTGAGGGGCTGAATGGGTTACTCCTGCTCCTTGGGGGCAAGGAGTTCCAGAAGTTTGAGGTGCAGTGGGATAAAAGCACAGATGCCGATGGTGGGCCGAGCAAGTTAGAGATATCATCCACGCCTTCATCATGTCCCAGCTGGACTACGCCAACTGCCTGCTCGCTGGACTTGCTAATTCTTCCCTCCACAAGCTGCAGATTATTCAGAACTCTGCAGCTCATGCCCTCTCCTGCACCAGGCTCTGCGAACAGACCAACCCATTCTTGCCCGGCTTCACTGGTTACCCATCCCTCAAGAGAATCAAGTTCAAAATCCTCATTCTCACCTTCAAAGCTCTCCATGATCTTGCTCTCCCTTACCTCTCCAACCTCCAAACCCCATATCAGTCTGAGCGCTCCCTCAAGTCCCCCGCACTTCCCACCCCACCATTGGTGGTCAGGCATTCAGTATCTCTGGCCCCCACACGTTAGAACTCTATCCCGTAATCCCTCTACCTCGCCGACTCTCTTGTCTCATTCAAGTCCTGTCTAAAGCCCTTCCTCTTTGACCATGCCTTCGGCCACCCCAAACTTTCACCAGCATCAAGCAATAGCAAATGGAATTCCTTCCATTACGACAACACAACAATGTTTTGTATTACCTTCAGGTATAGCTTTTGATTATAGATAGGCGGGGGGGGGGGGGGGGGGGGTGGCAAGAGTGGAGAGAAAGTGGCAAACAAATACCACACTTGAGACAGTTAGTAAGCTACAAAACAGCCTGTGTAAAACCAAATCAAAATGCCCCACAAAGAGCAAATAATAAACAAGACTTGTTCACCTTAACGACTCAGTAAACTATTATTTCTGATAAGTTCAATTTTTTTTAAATGACAACTTGAAATACAGTAATGGAAATGAATTGTCAAGCTTGTTTGCCACCAGCTTTGGCATACTACTCCAATAGTTTCACATAATGCAATTTATCAGCTAGGGAACCAAAAGACAATGTTCTACAATTTAATACAAATAAAAAATTAAAGGTCTATTCAGGGAATATTGTTTCATGAACTAGAAATTATGAAAAAAAGTGAAGATCAGTTGACAAGCTGCCATTTCAGTTCTTAATTAGTTTTCCTTCAAGTCCCGCCTCAAAACCCTCCTCTTCAACCATGCCATCGGTCACCCCCCTTCCCCTCCTTTCTCCCTCCCTGACCCCAGCTCGGGTCTGAAATGCTGCAATCTGTCCAGTGCCTTGGAACGTCCTCCCAACGTGAAAGGTGCTATACAAATGTAATCTTCTTCTTGTTGATAAATCTACACTATTGGAAATTGGACAGGAATGTCCCACTTACCGCAATTTTCTTCAGCCACTCATAACACGCTTTTCTAAAGACAACTGCCATTTTCTTATCATAAATAGGCCAGCAATCCCTAGAATGGAGGGGAACAAAATTAAAATGTTTCTCTTAAATGTCAAATACTATGCAGCTTTTTTTAATATAAATGTGATACATCAAGGTTGAAAAGGATAAAGCAAAAGTAAAAGCAGTTCAAAGACCATCAAAATGAAAGATGCAGCACTCCACTAATTGAAGTGCATCAAATTCTAGATTGACATCATCACTTTCAAACCCCTCGACAGCCTTGCACTGCAATCCTCTGTGTCACTTCCTCCATCAGTGGACAAGCTTTCATTCTACCCTGCTCTCTAATCCGTACACCCACCCTATCGTATGGGAGACATGGGTCTTTCACAACATTAAAGAAATATTGGTGTATTGACAAAAGTATAACACAGTTGAGTACAAATCCAGAGGAATCAGGGTGGGGTGAGAAGTAGATATTAAACAGGTGAAAATCACTCATGCTTACCTGAATAGAGAATTGGAACGGGTTTGATCCAACATCACAAATAAGTAATGTGCCACAGTTTGAAATGCATCCATGTTTGGCTTGTCAAACATATTCCTGATTGAAGAAAGATGAAGATATTTATCACAGGCTGTGTTCTAGACCAGGAAGCCAACTTGCGTGACTATTCTACTCGTGCGTAATGCAGTCCGCAGGTCGCAAGTGTGCAGTCCCTGTATTAGACCATCATTGAAAAGTCCTGCTTTTATTTGTCACAATTTCCAAATTACTGATACCGGGAAACACAATATTTAACATCAGAAAATTATGCTTCTACATAAGTGAAGTATGTCACAAGGCTCAGAAAACAGTGCATTGTTTTCATCAATTTCCAGAATACTGTTCTTCTAATGTAGAGCCTTGTGCTGGGTCACAAAGAAGCAAGTCAATTGGTACATCCATAGTCAGATATGTAATAAGGCTTGTATTCTATATATTGAATCATCCAAAGTGTTGCACAGGATTTTACTTCAAAAGGATGTGACTCCATTCGTAGGCAAACACAATGTGCACTAGAATGTCCCACAAACAGCCATGAAGCAAATGAAGCTTTATCTAGGGTACCATAGGCCAGAACACCAGGAGAAATTTCTTTCTCTTTGACCTGTGTCATGGGATCTTTAACATCAACCTGAACAAAAGACAGGATCTTGTCTGTTGTCCAGACGTTTCTGTTGCAGAAACCCTCTTTCAAATTTCGCCTGAAAACTTTCCTCTTCGACCGCGCTTACGGCCACCTCCCCACTCCCCCGGCTCAGAGTCAGGCTTCACCATTGTCAATCGCTCTGAGGCGCTACCCTGCGTGGAGAGTGCTATACAAGTGCAAGTTGTTACTGTTGCAGTTTGTCTCGTTTGAAGGACAGACCACCAACAATGTCGACCTTTGTAGGACTGTATTGGAGAGTCAGCCTCGGCAAGTTCAAAATTCTGAAATGGGGCTTCTGATTAGTACAAGTGAGGTAAGTTTGCTACCAACATAGGCAAGTGCTTCCAATGCAATAATAATAATAATCCTTGCATTTGATATCGCACTTTATCTCGTCTTTGAGACGTCTCGAAGAGCTTCACCGCATATATTGTAAAGTGAATTGACAGTATATTTTATGGGCGAAACATGGCAGTGAATTGTGCACAGCAGTGTCCCACAGACAGTCGTGGGTTGAAGTGACAAATTTATTATTATTATTTTTTGAATTAATTATTACCCCGGAAAGCGATCAGTCAGTCGACTAACAACCAGGTTCCTACTTACTGCGAGGTAAACAGAGGCATGTGGAGTAAGGAAACTTGCCCAACATTTCGCACTGCCTGGAATCAAATGCAGGTCTTTCGCTTGTGAGGCGACTGCTCTAACCACTGAGCTACAGTACTCCCAGATCAGCATAAAATTCAATGGGAGTGGGGTGGGTAGAGACAGGAGTCCAACACTTCTGATTGTTGGACAGCTCCAACACTACTGTGGGTAAAAAATTAATTAAGGTTCCTGAACACTTGTATGAATGGTCGGCAAAGGCACAATTTACAGCCGAATTATTGACATTCACAGTCAAACATTAAACACAGCTATTTGGTAAAGCAGCAGAAAACAACAGTAAAGAGGGAAAAAGCAATTCAGGGTGGGAAACTAACGTGCCCTCCAAATCGTCCTTTAACCAGTTGTACTCTAGCTGGGCACTCAGCGCAGCGACAGCTTTTCTTTCAGTGCAATGGTTTTGTATTAAGTAACCATTCGTAAGAGTTGAGGGGGGGAAGGGTCTTGGTAAACAATTTGTGCTTTTCACTGATCCTTAAGTGTGACCCACAAAAATATACAGCCAATCACATCCAGTGAAGTGTTTTGAGATGTCTCGATGACTTGATAAGGCGCTTTATCAAATAGGAACACGTTATTGTTCGCCTTGTAAATGAAAGGACCTGGGTTCGATTCCCGGGCAGGAACACACACACACTCCGGTTTACCAACAAGTAAGTAGGAACCCACTCGTTGGTCCATTGGGTAACAATCACTCCATAATAATACTTCGGTCACTCAACCCACGACCGACTGTGGGACACTGCTGTGTGCAATTGGCTGCCACGTTTCACCCACAAAACACACAAGTCACTACACTTTACAGCGTATACTGTGAAGCGCTTTGAGACGTCTCGAAGCCATGATACCAAACGCAAGGATTATTATTAAACGTGTTTCTTACAGCGAGCGCAGGCGTAAGGGTTTTGCTTTTGGCCAAATTGCCACTACAGAACAACAACATTACATTTCTAATAGTGCCTTTCTCTGTCCGGAGGCGCTGGACATAAGAGCACAGCATTTCAGAAGAAGCTGTCCAGCGTTGCAGCACATATAACATGGCGGGGGGCCGGGGTCATCTGTCTCTGAAACACCAGTCAAGAGAAGGAGTTCTCCTTCACAAACAAATTTGGGAGATGAGTGTGTATTTGTTTGTGGGGGGGGGGGGGGGTGTGTGTGTGTCTGGAGGGAGGAGGAAATGGAAGCCATTTTTTCTAGAATAATAAAAAACATTAAAAGAAATACTGGGGAGTTAACAGCACAAGTCATCCAAACAAACAAACAAACACAACAGAGTTGCGTACAAATCCAGAAGAATCGCGCCGTGGGGGTGTGTGTGGGGGGGGGGGTGAGTGTGTGTGGGGGAGGGGGTGAGTGTGTGTGGGGGTGGGGGGGTGTGGGGTGTGTGTGTGTGGGGGTGAGTGTGTGTGAGTGTGTGGTGAGGGTGAGTGTGTGGTGAGGGTGAGTGTGTGGTGAGGGTGAGTGTGTGTGTGTGGGGGTGAGTGTGTGTGAGTGTGTGGTGAGGGTGTGGTGAGGGTGAGTGTGTGGGTGTGAGTGTGTGGGGGTGAGTGTGTGTGAGTGTGTGAGGGTGAGTGTGTGGTGAGGGTGAGTGTGTGGGGGTGAGTGTGTGGGTGTGAGTGTGTGGGGGTGAGTGTGTGTGAGTGTGTGGTGAGGGTGAGTGTGTGGTGAGGGTGTGGGGGTGTGTGTGGGGGTGAGTGTGTGGGGGTGTGTGTGTGTGGGGGGGGTGAGTGTGTGGGGGGTGAGTGTGTGTGGGGGGGTGAGTGTGTGGGGGTGTGTGTGTGTGGGGGGGGTGAGTGTGTGGGGGGTGTGTGTGTGTGGGGGGGGTGAGTGTGTGGGTGTGTGTGTGTGAGTGTGGGGGGGGTGAGTGTGTGGGGGTGTGTGTGTGGGGGGGGGGGTGAGTGTGTGGGGTGTGAGTGTGTGTGGGGGGGTGAGTGTGTGGGGGTGAGTGTGTGTGGGGGGGTGAGTGTGGGGGGTGTGTGTGTGTGGGGGGTGAGTGTGTGGGGGTGTGTGTGTGGTGTGAGTGTGTGAGTGTGTGGGTGAGTGTGTGTGGGGGTGAGTGTGTGTGTGTGTGTGGGTGAGTGTGTGGGTGTGTGTGTGTGTGTGGGTGTGTGGGGGGGGTGTGTGTGTGTGGGTGTGTGTGGGTGAGTGTGTGTGGGGGTGAGTGTGTGTGGGGGGGGTGTGTGTGTGTGGGTGTGTGTGTGTGGGGTGTGTGTGGGGGGGAGTGTGTGGGGGGGTGAGTGTGTGTGGGGGTGAGTGTGTGTGTGTGTGTGGTGAGTGTGTGTGTGAGTGTGTGGGGTGAGTGTGTGGGGGGGGTGTGGGGGGTGAACCTCTTCAGTCGATATTAAACTTAAAGTTAAAAGTTTGTTTTGAACAAAGGCGGAAATAATGCTTCTCCCCCTCCGCCCCCCCTCCCCCTCCCCCTCCCCTGAGAGAGAGAGAGAGAGAGAGAGAGATGCAAAAGTAACTGCTCCAACTCCCGGGGACTCACTTGCCGAACACGGTCCGGGAGCTGCCCCTCCACACGCCGCCCCTGGGCACCGCCGGCAGTCTGCCCGCCTCCTCCGGGGCGCTGAAGCCCAGGGCCAGCAGCGCGCTCCACAGCCGCTCCTTCGCGCCGCTCGTCGCCGCCGCCTCCATTTGCGCCGTCGGTTTCGTTGTTGCCTCAGAGACGACGGTCCCCGAGGCTGGATTTTAACGAAACTAAAACGGTGAAGCCGCTGCTCTCCTCCTCTCACTGCGCGCGTGTGTGTGTGTGTGTGTGTGTGTGAGGGTGAGGGGGTGTGAGGGTGAGGTGAGGCCGACCCAGGCCGTTGCTCCCTTTTTTTTAATATATATATATATATCTACAGAAATCCGCACTAAAGTTTATCCTCCACTGACATCAGTTCGTGCCGTCCGCCGCCGCCATTTCACTTTCTTTTCTATGGGGGAAAAAAAACACTACCAACCGCCACCCCGCGCGCCCGACCTCCGCGCCGTTTTAAACTGCAGCGCGCGCCGATCCCCGCCAACTCCACCCATTGGCTGCTCTCTCGCTCCCACCCCTCGCACTCCCCACCCCACCTCGCCTCTCCACCGCCAGCACCTCCCATTGGCTGTCAACCTGATTTCCCTCCCACACCCCATTGGCTGACAGTCCTGCCACCGCGGTCTCCGCTCTCTGATTGGATAGCGTGACTCCCCCCTCCCCTCTCTCTCTCTCTCTGATTGGTTCATCGCTGCTGGGGAGTATTGGTCTGTGATTGGCTGATGGCCCTGATCCTCTCGTTGGCTGCCGTTATTCTTACTTCTGATTGGCTGTGAGATAAATAAACGCCCGGGCAGGAAGGCAGATCCTAATGGAGGGAAAAATAATGCATTTGATTAATAATACTTCCATTTGATGCAGCGCCTTATCACATATTCAAGACGTCTCAAAGCGCTTCACAGAATAGACTGTAAAGTGAATTGACCGTATATTTGTGGGCGAACGCGGCAGCCAATTGCACACAGCAATGTCCCGCAAACAGTCGTGGATTATTATAATTATAATTTATTATTATTATGATTACAACGCCCCCACCCCCCACCATCAAAATACAATGGAGTCCTGTAGCTCAGTGGTTAGAGCATTCGCTTTGCAAGTGAGAGACCTGAGTTCAATTCCAGGCAGAGGGCGAAACCTTGGGCAAGTTTCCTTACTCCACACAGAGCCTAATAATAATCCCTCCAAAACCAAAAACAATAATAAATTGGTCATTTTCAATCCACGACTGTTTGTGGGACATTGCTGTGCGCAATTGGCTGCCGCGTTCGCCCACAAATATACAGTCAATTCACTTTACAGTATATTCTGTGAAGCTCTTTGGGACGTCCTCCCGACGTGAAAAGCGCTATATCAAATACAAGGATTATTATTATTATTAATGCTCATGCACTGTCCCCCAGCGTGAAGTAAAACACTAGCAGACTATTAGTATTATTAATATTAGAAAAGCAATTGCAAACACTTTTGCACAAAAAAAGGAAAAAAAATCTTGTCTTTTTCTTCCATGTGCCCAATCTGCAATATTCCCAGCGGTTGTTTCTTGAAGAAGCCCATGACCTATAAGATACTTCCCTTCCCAGTAACCTACTTGATATGTCCACACACAAAAAATGTCAACAGTTACTTGCATTAGCACAGTGAGGCATTCAATGTGATCAGTCACTATAAAAAACGCAAGCTCTCTTCTTCAATCCTGGATTACAAGGCTCAGAATGAGGATGGCCATAATTATCTGAGACCTCGAAGGTGATCACCAAGTGCTCACTACCAGGAAATGCACAGTAACTGATAAGAACTTGATATTAACCAAAAGGACAAGAAGTGTCGATATATCAATATTCTCTTAAAATATTACAACAACAAAATTAAATTTGTATAGGGCTTTTCACGTCGGGAAGACGTCCCAAGGCGCTGGACAGTCAGTGTTTCTCGAGCTGGGGGTCGGGGTCAGGGAGGGTGGAGGATGGGGGGGGGAAGGAGGGTGATCAAAAGCACGGTCAAAAAGGATTATCTTGAGATGGGTCTTGAAGGAGACAAGGGAGGGGGTGAGGCGGAGGGACTACGGAATGGAGTTCCAGAGGGTGGGGGCAGAGTGGAAGAAGGCCCACCCGACAATAGTGGGGTGAGGTGGGGGACATCAAGCAGGCCAGAGCCCTCTGAGCAGAGGGAGCAAACAGGATGGTAGGGGGTTAGGAGGTCGCTGAGGTAGGTGGTAGCAAGGCCTTTGAAGATGAGGACCAGGATCTTGAACTCTATCCTGTGTGTGATGGGAAGCCAGTGAAGTTGGGCAAGGATGGGGGTGACAAGTCACGGAGCCTAGTGCGGGAGAGGATACGGGCTGCGGAGTTCTGGATGATCTGCAGCCTGTGGAGGGAGGAGTTGGGGAGGCCGACAAGCAGGGAGTTTGCATAGTCAAGCCTCGATGTAATGAAAGCATGTATGAGGTTTTCGGCGGCCTGTGGTGTGAGACATTTGCAGAGCTGGGCAGAGCTGGGCGATGTTGCAGAGGTGGAGGAAGGCAGAGCAGTTCATGGCACAGATGTGGGGTAGATGATCTATTAACCAGGATGGTTCACTTTTGCCAAGCTTTTTTTGACAGGTGAAAACATGCACATTTAAACTGAACCAGACTTCTTTTCACTAGTTCCTAAAAGTCGCATTGGAATGAAAAGTTTAATAGAATAAAAATCAAGCCTTGTTATTTTATCCTTGCTGCAAAGCAAATCCTACTAGTGATATAGTTATCATCAACCTCTATCATACCTTTTTTAGATAACCTTGTGGGGAAAGGTAAGAGAAAGATAAGTGAAAGACAATGCTTTCTAGTTTAATATCAATTATTGCCCCTCTCCACTAAGCGCACAATGCCCATTCTCCGCAGTGCACCTACACAAACATCTCCTATGATTTCCTAAACCTCAATCTGTCTGGTTGCTGCTGCTCAGGCTAGACTTCCCTCTAACTTTCTCTCCCCATGCTGAGAGCCACTGCAGCTTCCACTCAATGTGTCTCACATTTGTCGCGTCTCGGATACAAAACTGAGCAGTGTTGGGAACCTGGACCTACATTCTCTCATTCTGTGGCACTCAGTGTAAGTTCTCCCAGCCAAGAGAAAGGCAATGTTTCTAATTTACTGATTGTCATTACTGTTGCCCACATTTCGATGGCAGCATAATGTAATTTGCAGTGTTGTGCACAAGAAACATTTTTAAAAGAGGCACATTTGTGGCCAATCACATTTCATATTCAAGATGAACTCTAAGAAAAAAATTGGCAAAACGTATTCAGTATTAAAACTCCCAGAAGCAGGTCTATAGGTCTAATCTGAATGGTGTCAATGTCCAAAATAGGGTAGAATTCCCCTGTTTTACTTCTAAACCCTATTATGAATTTAAACAGGCACAATTTGGCCGATATCGATATCTATATATATATTTAGAGTAGAATACAGATTTTTGATCATCTTAATTATGTCACATAGACTTGTAAACTGCCGAAGCCCCAAAATGGAAAACCATCAAATCAAATGACTCAGACATGCATACACCAATTTGCAAAGGCAATGTTTAACGTCAACTTGCCATAACAAAAGGCAAGGTGTTAACTGGATTAAACACAATGAACTGGCTGAAACTGGGCAGAAAAAACAAGTTCTTATATGGTTAATGAAAGACTCACAAATAATCAGCGTAGGATGGAAAAAAGGGGTTAAAAAGGCTTGAGTGAGCAACGGCAAGGCAGAGATCGTGGCTGTGGAAGAGGAGCGACATGCCTAAGCTAAGAACTACAACAACAACAATAAGATTACATTTGTATAACGCCTTTCACGTCAGGAGGATGTCCCAAGGAGGACAGTGTACAGCATTTCAGAACTGAGCTGGGGTCAGGGTGGGGAGAAGGGAGAGGAAGGGAAGGGGGGTGGCCAATAGCATGATCGAAGAGGAGGGTCTTGAGGTGGGACTTGAAGGAGGCTAAGGAGGGGGCGAGGTGGAGTGATTGGGGATTGGATTTCCAGAGGTTGGGGGTAGAGTGGCTGAAGGCTCTCCCGCCAATGGTGGGGCGGGTGGGTCGGGGGACATGGAACAAGCCAGAGCCGGTTGAGCAGAGGGAGCGGGCGGGTTGGTAGGGGGTTAGGAGGTTGCAGAGGTAGGGTGGGGCGAGGCCATGGAGGGCTTTGTATGTGAGGACCAGGATCTTGAACTGAATCCTCTGAAGGTTAGGGAGCCAATGGAATCAGGCGAGAGTGGGGGAGATGGGGTCACGGAGTTTTGTGCGGGAGAGGACGCGGGCTGCAGAGTTCTGGATTATCTGCAGCCTGTGGAGGGAGGAGTTGGGAAGGCTGACAAGCAGGGCATTTGCATAGTCGAACCTGGAGGTGATGAAGTCATGAACAAGAGTTTCAGCGGCCTGAGGGGTGAGGTAGTGGCGGAGTTGGGCGATGTTACGGAGGTGAAGGAAGGTCGACCGGGTCATGGCTTGAATGTGGGGGAGAAAAGACAGTTGAGGGTCAAACAAGACACCGAGGTTCCTGACTGGTTTGGTGAGTTGTAGTGAGCAACCATGTAGGTTGATGTTGCCAGAGCCTGAGGTGCAGAGGCGCTGGCGTGAGCCAATCAGGAGAGCCTCAGTCTTGTTCACATTCAACTGTAGGAAATTTGCCCTCATCCAGGACTTGATGTCCAACAGGCAGTCTGTCAGGACAGCAGTGGCCCTGGAGTTGAGGGTCGAGGCAGAAAGATAGAGTTGGGTGTTATCCGCATACATGTGGAAGTTGACCCCATGTCTGCGGATGATGTCACCAAGAGGGAGCATATATAGAGCATATAAGAGGAGAGCGCCAAGGACAGAGCCCTGGGGGACGCCAGACGTGACAGTGCGGGGACTGGAGGAGAAACCGTTAGAGGCAACAAAGTGGAAACGGTGAGAGAGATAGAAATCAAACCAGACAAGGCAGGTCTGCGAAGATTGAGTGAAGCCGTGATGACGGCTGTTTTTAGAGGGGTGGGAAATGAACCAGTGGACAAGAAAAGGTCTCCCAGGGTAAGAATCTTAAGTAAACCGCGCCCTGAATCATCTTCCGCAGTTTTATGTGTTTTATACCTAGTATAACCATCGTTTTGGTTAACAATAAATAATATCTAGTTTAATGCATTTTGTCTCTGTTCAAATACCTTACCTCGAGGTGAACAATTGGAATGGTTTGAGGAC